GGGACTTGGAGGCAGGGATGGAAAAGGAAAAATGTAATTCACAACCTCAAAACAAAAAAATTAAAAAAATCATTTAAAAGATGTTTGTAGCTTCAATGTATAGGTGCAGGAGGGGATTTTCCCAGACCTGGCAGACCTGGGCTGAAGAATCTATAGGAAGTCAATGTGTCTATCCAGCACAGCTTGTCATATTTCAGAGGCCAGGGCTGCCTTGCAATGCTCAGATATGCGGCTCTGCCATCTTTTCAGTGATCCCTGGTACCATAGCCAGCGGTCGGAAGTATAATCCAAAGCCCCCAAGGGTCTTGCAGTCGATAGGAGCTGGTGTAACCGGTGTGAACACGTTTCTCCTGAGATGGCTGTCTGATCCTGGTACGGCAGGTGGTGGAGCTGGCAGCACCAATAATTTCTGAAGCTCATGCCCTGCTGGTGCGGTTCCTTGGAATCACACTTCAGGTGAATTAAAGAGAGTACAGGAATGTGAAATTTCTGGCAGCCCTCTGCTTGTAGTAAATTAAGATCCAGGCCTGCTCCAATTGTAAGGCATTGGGGGAATCAAGGGGAATTAACTCCTGATCTCTGAATGCTATCACCTGGGGTGTTGCAGAGGCTTATAAAGCACCCCCATGAGGGATACCATTCAAACTCTGAGAATGTGGTCCAAGCTGCGGTCAGAGTTCTCAGACACAGGGGAGTTTATTTTTACAAAAGGCAGACAGCCAGGAAGAGAGACTTAAGTCCCTCCGGAAGAGATATATTAAAACACGCCCACCACCACCACCATTGCATGCCAATACCATGATTATGTAATTGCTTTAGCTGTAAACTCATAAAACTTTTGTAGATCCAAAGGTTGTTTTGGAAATGTGCCTGCTTGATATGAGCTAAAAATCTGGAACCCAGTGATGGAACAGGGAACAGTATAGTTAATGATTTCCATAAAAGTGCTTAGACTGCTATCTTTCTGAGTGTGAACTGGGAGGCCTCTCCTGGCTCAGCCAGCCCCTCCCACATTCCTCAGTTTACCCTGGTCCATTGCACTGGCAATGAGAAGGAGCCTACATGGAATGTAGACCTGGTGAGGCCTGAGGGCGTCTATCTCAAAGACCAGGGTGATGGTCAGGACTCTGTAGACGGGGCCATGTGTAGCCCTTCTCCGCATAACTTCTGCTGGAGTTTCAGTGCCTTATGTCTCTCGCCTGGACACATCCAGCTTTCTAACATGATTTTCTCTCTGTTCCCATCATGTTACATCCTTGCATACAAACATTTAGCCATTATTCCATGAAAGACATCAAACCTCGTGTTCTGGCATTCAAGGCTTTTAGGGGTTGCAGTGGAGTGTCTCATCTTCCTCTGTTCTCGTTCTGTCAGGGCTGCCCTCTGGCCACTCCCCAATTCTCTCCTCTACTCCTTAGGCCTGTCCTCTCTCCCTGGAATTCCCCACCCACCAGTCCTCATCCTTTAAGGATCATGTTACATTTTCTCTAATTTGAGGAATCTTTCCTGGCCAGGGCCAAGGCATCAGATGTACTTCAGTTTGAGGCTCTGAAAGATTAGGGAGTTTTCTGAGTTCCTCTGGCTCAGTTTTCTCATGTGTGGGATGAGTCAAATGCTTCCACCTGAGGGGTATAAGTTAGGAATGGGATAGCCATATTGTGAATGATGGAGCAGGATTCTTTGTGCATATCTGTCATTAAGTAATGTGGCTGGCTATTCTGATTATCAGGTCTTCTTGAAGTTTCACTTACTTGGAGTCTCTCTTACATGCCGTATTACAATTATTGAAATTTGTATTTCAGATCTGTAGTACACATTTTACTCTTTCTCTTTAGAAGTTCCTGGAAGTAAGATAGTTTCTGCTGACTTAGCATGGACACTCTGCTCAGTTGGGTCCTCGGCCAGTAGGTGGAAACTGTCTTTTCCAATGTTTATATTCACTAACAACACTTTTAGTTTTCTACCCCTTTTCCATCTAAAAGGTGAAAATGGATTTTACAACTCAATTCTCTTGGACATGAGAAATCTCATTTGGCCTTCCAGAGACAGGGCAGGCTGTGAAGTGGCCAGCGAGAATTGGTACATTTCTATTAAGTCTTGGGAAACCTCATGCAACTTAAGGACACTTGTTCTCAGTTCACTTGTTTTTCAACATGCATTCTTTTTTTTCACAAAAAAAAAAGGCTTTTTGGTCTAATGACTTTGGAAAACATTATGTCCCAATGATCCCACTTTGGAGAGCCAGAGGACACGTTCACCAGCTAAAATGGGAAGAGGTCTTGCAGTCAAACCAGCTCTGGATTGTTGATGATTGCTGACATTATCACGCATCACACCAGGCACTCTGAGATGGGCCCTCACACAAACTGTCTAACGTAACCCTCAACATACCCTCAGAAGATGGATAGACTTACTAGTTGGAGCCAAGTACCCTGCTTCACTGTGGTATATCTTTCTACATTCCCAAAGTTGCCTGACCAGGCAATACATTGAATTCTCCTCTGACTAATAGCCATGAAGCCAGTTGCCCTGGAGTTCACTTTGGAAAACAGATTCACCACCCAGATATTTTCCTGCTGGAGAGCTGAGGTGATTTTTATGCCTGTATGCCAGGGTGCCCATCCTTTGGCTTTCTCCTGGTAAACGGCTCAGCCTCCAGAGTCTAGTTCAAAGGTTACTCTCTAGGAATGTCTCTCAGACTGTAGCAGACTGTGGTACAGGCATTACTTGGTATTCTTGCATTGTCTTCCATGCTGTTAATGTTAGCATTGCTTTTAAAACACGTTGCTAAAGTGCCTGGCACACGGCAGACCTTCTGGAAAGACTTGTTGAACAAGATGGAGTTCCTTCTCCAGCCCTTGGACCTTTGGCCCCTAAGCCTAGCTTGTCAAGTCTGGACTTGTGACCGATTCTATATCCCACAAACTAGTCCAAGCCTGTTTCACACAAAAGCAGGTCAGATAGGTAGCCACTGTCCTACTGGCAGTTCAGTAGTTAACATTTTCCTTTCATAATTTCTGGAAGAGGCGGCGTCTATCTCTCAGATTCTGTAGCAAGCTCAGTTACTTCACCTTGGGTCTCTCTCATCCAGACCCTTTTGGAGACAGTCCTTACTGGTTGCTTTCAAGGCACTGTCCACGTTTCATTACAAACCCCACGTGACTGAATCTCGGATGAGTCAGCTGGCTTGGGGATTTTGGTTAGCAACCCTTATTGCCTTTGTTTTCATCTTCATAGGGTGTGTGGGGGGGGTACAGGGAAGTGGTGTGTGTGTGTGTGTGTGTGTGTGTGTGTGTGTGCTTCTTGGGCTCTGGGGTGGGGCCTGGCAAGTTTGGCGTCCAGAGATGCTGCCAGCCTCTGTTGGAGCCCGTGATGGGAAGCCACGTCATGCCATACTGCGCATTTTTAGGCCGCACCCATCCCCAGGGCCCACTCAGGCGCCATGTAAGCGCTGGCCATCCAGCTCTCTAGCTGTCTGCGATGAGGTCATGGGTGGGGTACTGGGGACCCCCTCCAGATAGGGTGGGGGCTTCCTCTGCTATCCAGGGGTAGGCTGGAAGGACTGGGAAAGAGGCGGAGGTGAGATATTCGCCTGCCTGATCTCCTGCTCCCTGGTAGTTAGTGGTCTATAGGCTGGTGTAGGTAGCATAGAGGAAGAAAAAGAAAGCCGGGGATGTACAGAATGGAGAAGTCTATAGTCTATGGCTTGGCAGTCGTGGTCTACTTGCCCCATTAGCAGTTATGGGTAAAGAGAGGTAGCTAACAAATGGTGTTCTTTGACCACCTTGCCAAGAGCTAATAGAGTCACCTCCTTGCTTTTATACAGTAATGACTTTACTCTGACCTTAATCAACAAGACCCCGAGGCAAGGGAAGCCAGAGTAATCCTCATTGTGTAACTAGACTTTGACACAGAAGGAAAAAATAACAAGAAAGGTAGAGGCTTTCTTAGCCGAAGACAGTGACTGTGGCAATAGCTCCCATTCCCTCCCAGGCCTAACTGCCTTGGTTGCTAATATTTCTACACTAGTGAGTCTTCCAGACTGAGGTTACCTCTGTGTTCCAACCACCTCAGCTCAATCAAACCCACATACATGTGGAGCTATGAATTCGGGACTCTGCTAAAACTTTTAGCAGGCGGATTCCATCTTCTGATCTCAGTGGATATCTGGGGTGGGGCTGGGGGGGAAGGGGCTGCACCTGGAATTCTGCCTTGGAAAAACAGGAACTCTCTGATAACAGAGTGTTTCTCCAGGAAATAGAAGAATTCACAGAATATTCACAACCCTCCACCCCAAGATGCCTCTCAGAAAAGCAATGCATAGAAAAACAAACCCAATGAGAGCTATCCAAAGGCAGCAATTGACAAGTCAGTCACCCTATGCAGACAATGACACCCTCAGCCGACTTTGACTTAAGCTAAAAATGTCATGTCATGTTCAACTTTTGTTTTGTTTATTTTTCCACTCCAGGGAGATAAAGTTAATATTAGTAATATATTTCTAGGTTCTTACAAGAAACAGTCACATGATTTATTTAACTATAGAAAACATATTCCATAAAACAGTAAGTCACAGTAACCATGACTGAGAGACATTTTACAGTGTTACCACGATCTATGAGAAGGTTTCCCGAGTGCTAAGACTCTCGCTCTGGGAGGTGAGTAGCATACAGATACTGAGATCTTGACCGTACATTAACCCACCGCCCACTAGACAGTCTGGGCTCAAAGTCTGGGGGTTTCAGAGAGAAGTCTCCCACCTTTTCTAAGAGACAAAGCATTTCTATACAAAGACGCTTGCCACACCAAGCGGAATAGAAAGCAGGGGAGACACCGCTGCTGAGGTTTTCCAACCTCTGATTTATCATTTGTTGACACTCTATCCACACATTCCCACCATCTCCTTACAAGTAGCTGTCTGTGGTTCTTCCTGCAAATATTTTGATAAAGTCCAAACAGAAGAGGAAAAGAGAAAGACTGTAGTAAAAACCATAGCTTACCTTTCCTGGGCATTGCTGGGTTCAGACTTCTCCCCCAAACATGAGACTTCTTTGCTTTGGTTCTCCCATGAATTTAGAGATCATTCAAAAGTAATCAGAGCAGAAATGTGTTTACTGCTGAAGCTGCCCCACAACAATGCAGAGAAGTACGTTGGTGAAAAGTAGAGGATGTGTGAAGCTCGGAGCTCATGCTGTCGGAAGAAGTTCTGCAACCGTCTTTCTCAGTTTAAGCAGCCTCCCACTCCTTCTCCCAGGCACTTGCCAACTTCTATAATTTAAAGCAACTGCGATCCTTCCCATAATACTCACATTTCAAAGAGTTTACTATATACACTCGTTAGTCATGAGGAGGAGTGGGCAAGGTTCTTCTGCAAACCCCAGATGGAGGCAGATGCAAAGCGAGGGTCTCAGGTATCCGGAGGATTTTTCCATCCCTCTGCAGCCATTGCTGTTTGCACCATGTGGATTCGTATCGTTGTAACCTTTAAAGTGGTATCTAGAGACCGACTGGCATCATTTCCCTGAAGCAACGAAAGCACTCAGAAAAGTTTATGCAGCAAACTTAGGAAAGGGGGCTAAAGCAGTGGAATCATACCCACACATCCCTTTTGTTAACAGGAGTGTTTCTCTGTGACTCGTCCTTAATTGTTGCATCCGATGTTTTCATGAAACAGGGAAATACTTAAGATGATGTTGCTTGCACTGGTCTTGTTTAAGCATTATTCCATATGTGTATCATAAATCTAGGAAGGACACATACTTTGCAAATTATGTCTATGTAATTGAATAAATCTGATATTTTAGCCTGTAATCAGAATAAATCTTCTGGCACTTTAACTGGTGAATGTGTTGTACATTTCATTGTCCATTCTTCCCACTGTCAACACACACCACACACACACACACACACACACACACACACACACACACACACACTCGTGAATGAAAACTACAGCCAACTTTTAAAGCAGTTTTTAAAGGTTTATTTAAAATATTTTAGATATATATCAAAATAAGTCTTGTTTAGTGCCTGCTAAGTAACTTGTGCTTGGCAAATACTATCAATCAATAGTTTGTGTCAGTTTTGATTTGCATGAACAATCTCCTTCAAAATGATCAGTAGGTCACGGGTTTGTGTAGAAATCAAAATAGGTCAATGTACGGCTTTGATGAGCAATGAATAGCTATGCAATAAAATCCCCCCAGTGAATAGAAAGCATCACTGAGACAAATAAACCATTCAAGAATGATCAGAAACATCAACATGGACACATTCCATTATGTATGCTCACTGCACAGAATTAGTCAAAAGAGTTCTGGGATAGGACTTCATTATTTCAAAGGCTATCAATCCCTCTCTTGGATTTTAGAGTTCATTTGAGTAACTATTACACAACAGATATCATTTAAATATTTTATAGCATATAAATAATAAGTATAAAGAGAAATGACCTAAGTCTACAAAGGCTGTAAGTTTTCTATGCTGACAATCAGAGGAATGATGGGGCCACCTTTGCTTGGGTTTCTGCTGAGGAGTGGTCTCCAGGCATGGTGCACAGTGTGGAGGAACTGAACTCACATGCTGGAGCCACATTCCCTGTAATCCTGAATAGATTGCCAATTTTTTTAAAAGTGTGAATATGAAAATGTAAATACAACTGTTTCCAAACAGTGCATTTGCATACATGCTTACCATAAAGCATTTATTTGATAAATACTAATCAGATGCCTTTCTATGCATGAGGAATTTAGTAAGCCCTCTTATGATGTTTACCACTGAAGCTAGCATGACCATCCTGACCAATACCAAAGGTGATGACAGAGATGGATGCTGCTCTATCATTCAATGGCCATAGATTAGTGTGAGGGACAGGATGCAGGGCTGGAAAAGCAACAATCCAGGTCCTGCAGTGGCTAAACCTTTGGTGCTCTTGATAACAAGACAACTTACAAGGCGATGTGTGGTAAACAACCTCACAGCTCTAGAGGAAAGGGATGTCTTTCAAGGGTGAGAATAACTTCTACGGGCAAGAAGTGAAATGCAGGCAATTGTGAAGGCACACTCCCCAACACTCACCACTCTGGCCAAGAGACAAACTGGAGTTGGGCGGCTATCAGGAGAAGTGATGATAGCAGCAGAGAGCAAAGAATGTAAGAATTTCCCAGTGGGTAGATCCAAGACTCTCTTTTGTCTGTGAAGGGGCAGGGTCCACACTTGCTTCCTGGATAGACTAAGTATCAGTAATTGCTGCCCCTGATTTCACCCTTTTGTGAATGAGAATCTTTATGGTGGTTATCCTATTGCTACTGTATCTTTTGTAGTGTGTGTGTGTGTGTGTGGAGATACACAAAGGGACAGAGATGGGGAGAGGGAGATAGGAAAAAAAGAGAGAGGTAGGGAAAAAGAGAGAGAGGTAAGGAAGGATTTGCCAATTTTGTTTATAGACTTCTGTTTAAGTGTCTAGATTGCTAGATTAAGATATAGCCCAACTAAAATGTATGGAGAGAATTTGATGTGCAGGAAGTAAGGCCTCTGATCTGAATGTAGTTATCAGAATTCTAAAGATATTTAAAATATACATCTTGATGATGTTGGAGGAAGACACATAACTATAAAACCATCACCATAATCTACACAACAAACATCTTTTCCAAAAGTTTTGTCTTGTCTAATCTATCATCTAGTGTATATCAGTCTATTGTCTATTATGTTCATTTATTTATACCTATTCATTTATTATGTCTATCACCAATCTATCTTTTCATTAATTCATTTTATCCTTTCAACAGTCCTGTGAGGCAAATACTAATACAACCCTTTTATGGTTGGACAGCTTGAAGCACAGAGAGGCTAAGTGAGTAGCTCATGGTCACAGAGCTAGGGATTTGCACCTAGAGCGGACTGGTTTGACCAATTCGTCCAAACTCTTGTATGTTGCTGGAAAGTTGTTCTCAGGGTAGGTGAAAAGAACCTTCCTAGGCCATCCATTCCCTTGGCCTGATTGCTGGGCAGACATTTGCGATAAGTTCTGGTTTCTTCCCAAAGCTTTTTTAAAACATGGAAGGTTGTTTTTACTCAGAAAGGACGCCTACCCCTGTAATTAGGACCTTCAGACTTTTTTCATGTATTAGGCTTTGCTCTGTTACGGTTAACTTTGATTATCCCAGCCTTGCTTGCTGCAGCCAGCCAAGTTTCGAATTATATCTTGAAACCCAGTGGCGTCACCTGAATTTCCTGATAAAGCTCTGCCCAGTCCTATTAAATACACATGACATGAAGGAAGAGGCTGCGAGGAGGGACATACAGATCTTGTCAGGGAGCGCCATCTTCTCTTGGAAATGCGTTGTTATTTGGAAATCGGAGATGAACTATGCCATCTGTGTTTCGCGTGGTAGAGAAAGACCAGTCCGAGTGTCAAGGCAAAGATGTTCAGGAGGTGTGGCCCCTCCCCCATATCAGAGACTGACGACATAAAGCTCTCTACTCCTTGACGACAGAATACTTTCTGCTCTTCGGCACTGAGTCCACAGAAGGGGCCACAGTTATTTCTGGGTTTACAGTCTCTCCCTCTCCCTTCTTGGATTTGACCTTGGTGAGTGAGTGCTATGTTTTAAATCTGGAATGACCCCGAAAGACTCATTTGCTACATTTGTCTTCAAAATAGCTTTGCAGGGTTGTGGGAGGACCTTTACGGGGTGGAGCCCCGTGGGAGAGTTTTAGGGTCTTGATGGCATGTCCCTCTGCCTCTTTCCCCCAGGGAACTGTGGGATCCAGACCTTTATCTCCCACTTCACTTCTTAGCTATGAAGTGCACAGGTTTGCTGAGCTACATGCCTCCTATTTCGCCAAACGCCTCCCCTGGATTGTGCCAATCAGACATAGAGGGAAACTTCCAAAACTGTGACCCAAGATAACTATTCTTTTTATAAGTTTATTAACTTAGGTATTTTGTAACAGTAACAGAAACTCGACTGTCAGAGAGAAGTAATATGAAGGCACGTTTTCACTGTCTTGGGGACTAAGGGTAACAGATCAGCTTATTGTAGAGTCAAAACTATAGAGCAAGAATAGAAAAAAAATGATCTGTAGGTTGTAAGACCACATGTTTGGAAGAAAGCATGAGGCTATTCTAATTAATCCCTTCACTCAACTCAGGGTCATCAGCACAGTCTTGGCAGGTGTTCACGCTATTTCTATTTAACTTTTCTCAGAGAAAGGGGCCACAATGTCGAGAACATCAGTGCATTTCTCTGAGTAGCATCCAGTATGCTGGCCCTCTTTCCCACATAGAAACAGCTCTCAAATGTACAAAAGTAACCCTTGGCCTTCTCTCCACACCAACTACATCTTTCCTCAAGTTCACTAAATCTAGCCTTTGCATCTGCTCTTCCAGAAATATGGTTTCATTTAGGCTGCCAGTTTGGTTGGCTACCTTCCAGTGAGTCAATGTCCAATGAATGGCTGAGCGTCTCTTGAGGAGTATGGTAAGGTGAGCAGAGAATCAACATTTGAGGCACAGTTCAACTCTGCTCTCAGCTTTGAGAAGGGCCCTCTCATCCCTGGCCTCCGAGCATGTGCTCACACAGATTCGTTACTCTGAGACTTCCCTATGCAGACTCACGTTCTCTAGTCACTCCTGTGTAGGAAGGACAGTACCATCCCACCTTCTGTGTGGCAGGGTCCTTTTCTATTGTCTGTCTACTGGCTCCCACTTCCTGGAAATAGTTCAATACTTCAATAGTTCATTAGTTTTAGTGTTCCAAGCTAAACTATCTTCCCTTAAATTGATACATCATTAACAGCATTGTCCTCCCAAGCGCTTGGGATTTGAAACATACACTCCTGGTTTCATTTCCTCTTTTTCAAAACACTCTTTTCTTTGGTGTATCTCTGAAACCAGTGTCCTTGGGGGACTTGAATTATTATAATTTTTATTATCCTGGTGTTTCCTTGTGGTATGATCTGTGAAGCCAAACTTTGAAATGTTCTATGATAAGGAACATATAGTAAAATAAATATGGAAGTCTCCAAGGGGGTTACATCAGTCAACTATTCCCAACATTAACTTCTTCAAAAACCTTAGTCACTGAAAGTGCTGACCATGGATTATTCATAAATCTGCAGACTGTCTGGGCTGTTTTGCTCATCTTGTCCATCACAGCTTAGGCAGTTCTGGAATCTGCTGAGATTGATTTATACCCAGTAGCTTTCTGGCTGGTACTGAATTTACAGTGTCATTCGTTGTGGCAACTGGCTCTGCCCCTCTGTCTCCTCCATCAGACAATTACATATCCCTTTAG